TCACATATGCGCTGTACGACTGCTCCTCAAACACAGGTGGGTTGTCGTTGATGTCAGCTACAGATAACTGAACACTTTTAGACGAGGACAGAGGTGGAGAGCCCTCGTCAGTAGCACTGATTGTAATGTTGTAGTCAGACACCACTTCACGGTCCAGTTGTCCTGTGCTCACCAGAGAATAATAGTTTTTAATAGAAGGAACTAACTTGAAAGGAACGTTTTGCTGAATGGAACAGCGGACCTGTCCGTTATTCTCAGAGTCTCTGTCCTGCACGTTAATGATGCCCACCTCTGTACCAGGTGACACGTTCTCAGGTATGGGATTGGTCAGAGATTTTAGAAATATAGCAGGGGCGTTGTCATTCACATCAGTAACATCTATTATGACTTTGGCATAAGAAGTTAATCCCAATCCGTCTTTTGCTGTGACACGTAGCTCAAATGATGCCACTGTTTCAAAATCAACGGCAGTCATCAATTTTACATCACCTGTCTTATGATCTATGGAAAATATTGACTTCACATCTTCTGAAATGTGTCCAAAATCATAAGTAACCTCTCCATTTAGTCCTTCGTCTGCATCAGCTGCACTCACTGTTGCCACAATAGTGCCAAGGACGGCGTTTTCTGGAAGACTGACTTTGTAAACGGCCTGACTGAACACTGGAACGTTATCATTAGCATCCAGTACAGTGATGTGTATGACTACAGTACCTGACATCGGAGGGGAGCCGCCATCCAGAGCTGTGAGAAGGAGATTGATTTCTTTTAAACTTTCACGGTCCAGCTCTTTGTTCAGAACTAGCTCCACGGAGTTTGTTTCAACCCCCAGAATAAAATTCTCATTCCTCTGGAGGTTGTACGTCTGAACTGAATATTTGCCGATATCCGCATCATGCGCTTCTTCTATTGGAAAACGAGCACCTTTAGCTGCAGATTCACGAATATCTATTTGGATCAATTCTTTGTTAAATTGCGGAGCGTTATCATTAATATCCTGAACATGTAGGTTGATCCGATGCAGTTCTAACGGATTCTCTAACATGAGCTCTTGTTTTAAGACGCAGGATGCTTTGTCTCCACAGAGGCCCTCTCTGTCAATCCTTTCGACCACAGTCAGATCCCCGTTACGAAGGTTTATCTCACAGTAACGTTTGTCGCCTTCATCGGTATCAATACGAGCCTTTCGGGCTGATAGCTTGTTTGCTTCAAGACCCAAGTCTTTGGCAATATTCCCGATCACAGATCCGCGTCGCATCTCCTCCGAAAAAGAATAGCTTACATCTCCACGGGCAAAATGCAAAGAAAGGAGCAGGAAAACAACGGCACAGCTTTGTAATGCAAAACCCATCATACCCATCTCGACGAGTAAATGTGTGCTCGTCAAGGTATAGGAACACAGTCAAAACAAAATTAGGATTTAAGCCCAAATCCGGAGAAATTAAAGACCACGTCTGTCCCTCCTTCGACGAACAACTGCTGCACCTTCAGTCACATTCTGCGTCGGCAACGCAGGGAACTGACAAACATTTTCTAACAGCTGGTGTACAGCGACATCGTGAGTCTATTCTAGAAACTGTATCTAGTCCACTTGGAGCAGGTCTATGCAAGTCACACACTCACACAGAAATGGTCAGAGGAAGTATAATTAAAACAGAAATGATATCTTAAAAAGTCGTGAAATATGAAAAGGTGCTGAAATACAAAGACCACGTCTAAAATAACACTATTGCACAAGAGCACTACATATTGAACACTGAATTATATGCGTAAGCAAGGAGACTATTTTATTTCTGAATATTTAGGTCATTGTCACGACATAAAATGTCTTTCAAGTTTAATGTCGACCTTTGGTATAACTGAAAGAGCAGATTCACTTTGCTGAGTTCTATTAAAATATTGTACTCAAGTCAGTATGTAGAAATCCAAGATTCAACAAGTTAAAGAAAGAGCAATAGACAAAAACAAGTCAGAAAAAGCAGCAAATAGATCTGTACTAAGAACACATAAATATAGAACCTAGCACAGCATATATGGGAAAACTACTAAAACTACGTAGGGAAACGATCGAGTATTTGTTACACGTAAAGACAGCTCAAAATTAAACCCTGAAGCGCATAGAGTTGAACCACATGAAAGATGACTGGCCTGGCTCTTGAAAATAAATAAAAACAAGCTTCGAGGTATTTCCATTGAAAAAGTAAAAATACAGAAAATCACAAAAAGCCTGAACGCAGCAGAAGCACTAAAATGAAGACACGTTTAAAGTGGCCCCCTGAAGTTTAATCCTAATTGAAGTTTTCAGTTTAACGCTGTAGAATTTACTGATCCGTTATTTCTGTAGCAATGGTTGCAGCAAACAAATCTACCAGGAATCAATAATGTTTACAGATCAAAAAATCAGTCAATCAATCAATCAATCAATCAATCAAGAAGCCATTTGTTGCAATGGGTTCAATAATAGCTATAAATACACCCTCAAAGGCAACCCAGGACAGTATTACGATGCGCACAAAATGCAACTTAAATCAATTTGCATCCCTGTCACTGTATGCTGCATTATTGAAATTGGTAAATGCATTGTGAGGAAAACCATTTTTCATTTTCAGAAAGTGAACTACATCAAAGTTGACACTGAAAATCATATATCAGCAAGGTGGGCAATATTTTTCCTGATAAAATTATGATGAGGCTCTTACCTCAGGAGAAGAGTCACAATCTCCAAAGGCATCAACAAAGTCTGATGGACTTTTCCTCAGAGTCTGGTCTGCAGGCAGAGTGTTGTCATTGTAAGATGTCACAAACTTGAAGTCACTGGTCCGAGAACCTGTTGTCAGGTACGCGTCATAATTGTAAGTGCTGCGTAAAGTTCCTGTGCCGTCAACATCTGCGTAATTAGG